AAAAAAAAATGTGTTGTATTACCAGGGACAAGAGTAACACTAGTCACACACCTTTAAAATTTTCAATCCATTAAACTAACTTATTTTACGTCAAAACTGGTTCCTAAACATCGTTAACCTGTGAAGTACTTCTTTGTGTGTGTGAGTTAAACATAATTAACTTTGTTCATGGCTGAACTTTATCACAATTGCTGCTGAAGATTTTTTTAGGATACCCTCGTAAACTGTACCTGACAAGTATTCCAGAGAAGGAATGACAAACCCAACACTTATTAAAATTCCTTATACAGCCATGGCCTTACAAATTCTTTACTGAGGTTGTAACTGGTATACAGAAAACTGCTTGATTAATGTATACAATTTGGTGAGTTTGGACATGTGTATACACTCATGTTACCATCCCCACAATCCAGGTAATAAACATACCATCATCTCTGTTTCCTTGTGCTCCTTTGTGTGCGTGGCAAGAACACTTAACATTAGATCTACTCTCAACACATTTTTAACTACACAATATCTTGCTGTTAACTACACCATTATGTAATTCAGCAGATCTCTAGAAATTACTTGTTTTGCATAATTGTAACTTTATGCCCTTTGTACAATTCCCCTGTCCCCCTCCCCAAATCTTCTGATAACCATCATTCTATTGTCTATTTCTATACTTTTGACTATTTTAAATGCCTCATATAAGAGAAATCATGTAGTATTTCTCCTTTGGTGATGGACTTACTCCACTTAGCAGATGTCTTCAGGGTCCATCTGTGTTGCCACAAATGGTAGTGTTTCCTTCTTAAGGCTGAGTGGCCTTATTGATGCTAACAAATTATTGTTTATATAAAGGATTACTCCTAGAATTATAATGTCAGAAAAATAAATATAAATTTAGTGATTAAAAGTAGTTACCAGATGAACTTGGCTCTGTTGGCTATGATGGAGTAGCTGGTACCAAACCATCGTTTCCATGATAAATAACCCTAACAATGGAAAGTATGAGGTAACTGCTTTTAGGCACTGGACCACAGGCAGCACAAGACTTTGATGCCTGAGAGGGGAAACTTATAAGGGGAGTCCCACATTTCCCTGGCTGCCAGGCTTGGGGACAATTTCTTATAGGGTGGTGGGGCCAGAGCATACTAGTCTCCCACTAAGGTGAGGAGGCAAAAAAGACTTCAGGGATGATAGTAAAGCAGATGAAATGAGTGAGGTGGATCTCCGAGGAGGCAGCTGTGCAGAAGGGGCAGAGCCTGTCCTTGGCTGAGGGTGGGCCTTGCCTGTGCAGTACAGACTACCCAAGGATTAATCACACGAGCTGCTCTACAGTTGAGAGGACAAAGATACTAGAAGTTGGGCAGGGCTGGCAACCGCAGAAGTTCTGATTCCCCAGAGTGAAGAGACTCATTAACACCTCAGTCATTCAAGCTGAGAAACTAGAGAGGCAAAATCACATCTTTCTTTTTTCGGGATAACATTTTATTTCAGCGAATTTCTCTCTCCAACAGTTTTCACCTAATATCTTACAATCTATAACTGTAATAACCCCAAATTTCAAAATTTTAGGTTAGATGAAAACATCTCTTTTTATACATTATTTTTTTTTTTAAGATTTTATTTATTTATTTGACTCAGAGAGACACAGCGAGAGAGGGAACAAGCAGGGGGTAGTGGGAGAGGGAGAAGCAGGCTTACCGCGGGGCAGGGAGGCTGATGTGGGGCTCGATCCCAGGATCCTGGGATCATGGCCTGAACCGAAGGCAGACGCTTAACGACTGAGCCACCCAGGCGCCCCTATACATTATTCTTGAATAATAATTTAGGTGGTATACGATTCAAAATTGAGTTATTATTTCTTAGTGTTCAGAAGATATGATTCCATGGGTTTTGGTCTTGGTCTTCACTGTTGCTGTTGAAATATCTATTCTCGGTCTAATTGCCATTTCTTCTTCTCCTTTTTTTTTAAGAAGGCTCCACACCCAGTGTGCAGTCCAACACAGGGTTTGAACTCATTACCCTGAGATCAAGACCTGAGCTGAGATCAAGAATCGGACCCTTAACTGACTGAGCCACCCAGGTGCCCCAAAATGCCATTTCTTTATAGCCAAGCATTCTTTTCTTGCTTGCTGTTGTTGAGATATATTTTTTTGGTCTTTGAGTACTAATGTGTTTAGGCATGGCTTACCCTTTCCTCTTATTTCCTAGTTTTTATTTTATTTCTTTTATTGACTTCCTTTTATGCTGCTAGGGATTAAAAATTAATTTTGGAAAAAATTCATCCTTTATCTCTCTGTTTATTGTCTCTCCTCCATTACCTATATTGTCTCCTTCTTATTTTATCTTCCATATCTCTTACTGCTCCTTAACACTTTTTTCCTCTTTGTCTTTCTGTGCTACATTCTGTGTAAATTTGTGGCCTTTATCTTCCACTTGACTAATTCTCTCTCAACTATCTAATGTAATGTTTAACCCACCTCTAAGAAAAACCACATCTTACAGTAAGGTCTTCTTTAAACATGCTCTAACAGAAAGTAAAATAAAGATGTAACATTTGCATGGGTGAAAGAACTTGGAATTTGAGTCCTACCACATTAGAGAGGCTTGATAAATACTTTGAACACACAAATATCTACCCTAACAAAGCATAAGATAAAGCCTATACAAGCTCAAAATGACCAGTTCATAACTAAACTGCCTATAAGAACAAAGAACACACTCAAAGGAGAGGGACAGAAGAGAATTTAGTCGTGCTAACAAAAAATATCCAGTATAAAATTGAAAAATTACTGGACATGCACAGAAATATAGTTAAGAAAAAAAAAAAAAGCAGTCAACATAAATAGATCCTGAGATGGCCCTGTGGTTTTACAACAGCGGTTATAAATATAATAAAGGAACATATGCACATTATGAGTGAACAGATGGGGGGAATCTGAGCTGAAAGGTGGAAATTATGAAAAAGAACCAAATGGGAATTCTATAAGTGAAAAGCATAGTAGATAAAAATTTAAAATTTACCAGAGAGTATTAAAAGATTGAAGATGACAAAAGGTAGTGTTAGTGAACTTGAAAACAGATAACAGAGGGACGCCTGGGTGGTTCAGTGGGTTAAACATCTGCCTTCGACTCAGGAATCGAGTCCCGCATCAGGCTCCATGCTCAGCGGGGAGCCTGCTTCTCCCTCTGCCTGACACGCCCCCTGCTCATGCTCTGGTGTGCTCTCTCTCTCTGACAAATACATAAATAAATAAATCTTTAAAAAAAAAAAAGAAAAGAAAACAGATAATAGAGATTAACCAATCTGACAAACAGAAAAAAAATACTGAAGAAAATTGGACAGAGCTTCAGTGAACTGTGGGATAATCAAATGGTCTAACATATGTATAACTGGAGACCCAAAGGGAGAAGAAATTGAGAAAAGGGTTGAAAAGTATTTAAAGATATGACAGCCAAAGTTGCCAAATTTAATGAAAAATATTAGCTTATAGAACAGAGAATCTTAACAAGCCTCAAATTGGATAAATACCAAACAACATCAACACAATAACAAACTATCAATGTCATACTGCTGAAAACTGAAGAGAAAGCAAAACCTCCAAAACAGTGAAAGAACAAAGAAGCATTATATAGAGGGGACAACAGTCTACATTAAAACTGACTTCTCAATGAAATGATGGAGGCCAAAATAAAATGGAAGCACAACTTTCAAGTGCTAAAGGAAAATCTGTGAACTCAATTCAGTATCCAGCAAAAATAATCTTCACAAATGAAGGCAAAATAAAGACAATTCCAAATAAACCAATACAGGATTTGTTGCCTGCAAATCCACACTAAACATGCTAAAGAATATTCTTATAGCTATAGGAAATTAAGACCAGATGGAAACTCAGATCTACAGAAAAGAATAAAGAGCACTAGAAATGGCAAATATATGACTTATTTTTTCTTCTCATAATTTCCCAATGATACAATTGACTCTTTAGATGTAATGCTGTAAGATGGGGGTTCATAATGTATATAAAAGTTAAAAGCTATGACACATACCAAGAAAATGAGGCTTCCCGTCTCCTCACAGGGCACACTAGTGAAGTTCCATTTTTTTTGTTTCATGCACTGAAAACCATGATCTTGACCAACCTTAATAGGGCAAGTCACTTGCCCATGATCACATAGCCAACTGGGACCAAATACCCCAAGCCAAACCTGTTGACTCAGAATACCAAAGAGCAGGTGGGGCAGAGAAAAGGTTTTTATTGGATCCCTCTGACATTCAACACACAATTTCTTGGGCATCCTTGGGCACACAGTCTGGCACTCATTTAAGATTAGGCCAATCGAAAGAAGCGCATGAATAGAGAAAGACTGTGTAAGCTTGAAAAAGCAAGCCCAGTGGGACGAAGGGTGGTTTCCCAGCAGAGAAAGAAAACAAAGTATGCTAGAAACCCCTCTCGGGTAAAGATGAAAGTCTGGAAGAAAGGCAAGGCCAGGCAGTCTAAACAGTAACCTAGAAAGCCACGGAAACAGCTTCTTCCCTAGCACCCTCAATGACGTCTCCTAATTCCTGACCCGCTGACCATGTCAATTGCACTCAGTACCTTCTGACCTACACAGGGGCCCAGCAGATGTTGTGGCCCTTCCCAGACAGCTCCAGCGAGTGATGAGTTCTGGTTTGCAAAAACGGGATTCCTGCACACATGGAAAGAAAACAACGTTATAAAATACAGGCTTAAGGCGCAATTTCAGAACCCAGAGCTAAACTGGGTGAGTGAACTCTCAGCAGTAGAAAAGGGATGAGTAAGGGAAAGGAACCTCAGATCAGCAAAGCAGCACATTATGTCTACTTCTTGCTGGGTAGATGAAAAAATCTTCCCTGCCTGAAGCAAGAGAGTATCTAGGAATAGAATCCAGCCTGGGGAAAAATGCCTGAAGTGTAGTAAACACCCACCCTCCCACTCCACCATCTACCTATTATCAACTGTACAAAAAAGCAGACTTTCCTTGGAGGGATGTTGGAAAAGCACATCTTTGTAGTGAGGTCCAATCCTAAGACAAAGATCAGCTATGCCCGGCAGCTGCATGAGTTTAAACTAGGTCAGATTTGAAGTTGTTAAGAGAAGCCATCAGTACCCAGTGAGACCAAGTTGCTATAGTTCCCCAGCATCGCCTGTCTGTAGAGGACTTGTGCAGGACTCCATAGCCTCCACATCTCCTAGATGAAAGCCACAGCCACACCCCTAAACACTATGAAATCCTGTTATACCAAATAGTCCTCCTCACTCTGTTGTCAGACTTGCCTATGATTCAAAGTGAAGAAGCAAGAAAGCTGCCCTGAGAAAGGTAGGGAAAATGTCTTGATCCTGTTTTTCACTATAACCCTGTTGTGGGGATTCTAAGACTCTGGTCTCTATCCAACCAACATCATTTGTCTACTGTCTAGGTACTGGTCTGGTTACTATGGGATTTCCAAGCAAAGCAAAAATAGAATTCCTAAACTTGAAGTGCTTTAAACTTAAGAAAACTACACATGAAAATAAAACATAAATATAGAATCATAGTCAGATCTGAGTTTTAGGAATTTGGAGATTACTTGATCTAATGGTATTAGATTAAGGATCTGAGCCCCTAGATTACATTCTTGCTGCCTAGTGTGGTCTGAGGACAGAGTCAACATTATCTGGAAGCTTGTTAGAACTGCCAATGATTGAGCTCCACCCAGTCATGCTGATTCATAATTTGCATGTTTACAAGACTCCAGGTGATAGGGTGGACATTCACACCTGAGACGCACTGTGTTAAATGATCTACCCAGGTATGTGGGTTCAGCAATAGCAATAACTAATCAAGAATGAAATTTTCTTTCCAAAACAGAATCTGTCCTCTACATTATCAGATGACACTTTCCCTTCGAGTGAAAACAGCTTTATTTACAAACAATGAATGCCAGGGGTTCAGGAAAAAGAGTTGGGAATTTGGTCTTGAAGGAGCTGCAAGATTTAGAAGTCAAGGAAGAGGAGGCAAGGTATTCCAGATGAGGTAGGAAGTGGGATAGACTGGGAGGGAAGTATCGTAGGGAAAAAGGAGATAGAGAAGAGAGGCCAGGAGTCATTTTTTTTTTTTAAAGATTTTATTTATTTATTTGAGACAGAGAGAATGAGAGAGAGAGAGAGAGCACATGAGAGGGGGGTGGGTCAGAGGGAGAAGCAGACTCCCCGCGGAGCAGGGAGCCCAATGCGGGACTCGATCCCGGGACTCCAGGATCATGACCTGAGCCGAAGGCAGTTGCTTAACCAACTGAGCCACCCAGGCGCCCCTGGGAGTCTTTTTAGAAAGCAGGGAACCCTCGGGATGCCTGGGTGGCTCAGTTGGTTAAGCATCTGCCTTTGGCTCAGGTCATGTTCTCAAGGTCCTGGGATCAAGTCCCACATTGGGCTCCTTGCTCTGCCTGCAGTTACCCCTGCTTGTGCTCTCTCTGACAAATAAAATCTTAAGACGAAAAAAATAGGCAGGCAATCCAGATTTTTAGATGGAAACTCCTAGTTATTAAATGCTAAGAACTCTTTCAAATATGAACCATAAGGCTGGCCAAACTAAACATCTGTATGCCACATGTGAACAGCCACACGGTATCCTTGCCTATATGCACAGAAAATCAGCCAGACACAAGACCATTTTTCCTTTGAAAACCTCCCTCACTTAGGCCAGGGAAGTTTACCCAGTGACTAGGCCTCTGAGACTCTGACTTTACTTCCTGCTCTCTTCCCACTGGCCGGTCCTTCTCCAACTCTTCCTCTCACCTACTCCCCTCAGGGAAGCTCAGGCAGTCTCTTATCCTGGAAGTCTTCCTTGTTTTCTCATCTCCAAGGTCCCTGGGATCCCAGCCATCTCCACCCTTGGCATACAGCAAGCATCACTGGACACTTACACATGGACGTCCCTGCATTGTTACTGTGAACCTCCATGGGTGTTAACAGCTAATTTCTTGGTGAATAAGTCATGGGTGGGGCAGAGAGGAACTGTCGATAGAGGGCTCCAAGTAAGACTAGGCACTTCTCCAGAGCCAGGGATGAACTGAATTCACTATGAACAAAGCAGCGGGGCAAAAGAAGGGGATGGATTCGTTTTCCGAAAGCTAAGAAGGAATTTTAGTAAATCCTTTTCTTCTCCCTCCTTCAGGCCACGTGGACGTCTTAGAGAAGAACGAAATTTCTGAAAGCCTATCTGAGGAAGGTAAAGAGAAGTGAGAGGGTGGCCGCGTGTAAATACCCTCCCACGACTTCAGTGGAGCTTATTCTCCAGCTTCTAGACTGGGGTGTTCCTGACGGGCACCAGCGCAATCCTGTTCTCAACCACAGCCCGGAACAAAGACCCAAAAAGCTAAGCCGACAGCGGCCTCTACCCCGAGCTACGGTCTAAGAGTGAGGTTCCTGTCCCCCAGGAGACAAATGAGAGTTTGCAAAACTCTGGGGACTCCAACAGAGAAAAAAGGTCTCAGGGACCCCGCAGTGGATATTTCGGGTTGAGGGCGTGTGCTCAGAATCCGGGTCTACCTCGCACCGGATGGGAGACCTCAGGAAGACTGCTCTGCGTCTCTCAGCTTCGCTCTCTCCGTGGGCCTCAACGGAGTTAAAAGTGCACGTGAGCTGGACGAGACCACGCCTTGCCGGTCGCTCAAGGAACACGGGACGAAGGTGTGCCACACTGCAGCAGGAGAACCCCGACCTCACCGCCCCGCTGCCGCTGACCCTTGCCAATCCCAGAAGCCAAACCGAACCTCCCCTTGATGCGTCATTTCCGCCGGTCGGGAGGCGGGCCGGCACCGGATGCGGAAGTCACTGCAGGGGCCACTGGGGAGTGTAGTCTTTGAGGCGGAAGCGTTAGAGAAGCGGTCACGGCAGGGCGAGAAGCTTCACCCGAGACCCTGTACATGTTTCGTAAACGTGGTATTAAGAAAAAAAATACCAGGGATCCAGGTGCCACGGTGGTCATTCTCTAATGACCGGGGAACGTTACCCAGAAACGGCTCCCTGGGAGGCTAATGGGAGCTGTGGGCTGTCAGTGCGCGTCTGGTTGCGCGGAGCATCCTGGGAGGTGTGGCCCCGGCGCCAGGCCGAGGATGCTGGATAGTGTAGTCCCGGCACCCTACAGAAGTAGGTCTCCAGCTGGTGGTTGGAGTGACCCCTTGTTCTTTGGTGGCGCTGGTGAGTGAGGCTCCCGCGGGACCCTTGCAGCAACTGTGCCTTTCCTGGGGCAGCAAGGTAGGTCTTAAAGGCTGGTCTATGGGCTGAGGCTGGGGACGGTGCAGATGGCGGGGAGAGGAGGTAGTGGTGGGGACACGCTGTCGTGGCTCAGGCCGTGCTCTCCCGGATGTCTTATTTTGGGGGGTGTGGGCGCGCATCTCCGAGGAACGTGGGTGAAGCTCAGCCGCAAAGCCCAGTGGTGGTGGGTGCTGGGCTTGGGCCTTTCGTCCAAAGGTTCCTGCGGGTGGGGACAGGTTCGGCCTTGGCCGAAATCGCGATGTTGAGAGAGGGGGTCGCTCATGTCAACTCTCCGGGTTTGCGGGGAGTTCAGTAAGTAGGCTTTGGGGGGCTGATATTTCCTAGGTGGTGGTGTGAGAGCCGTCCCTGGGGACATGTGTCCGGAGTTTCGGTGGGTGGATGTTGATCGTCCTTTTTTTGGGTCCAGCTACTCCTCACTTTTGCCGAGGCGAGGCGACAGGCAGGCTGCCTTGGCCAGACGTGCCCGGGTTGCACTGGGTGTGGAGTGGCCATTTTGGCGCGATCCTCGGCTCTCAAATTTGGCTGGTCGCCCCAGGGTTCCGGCCTTGGAGGAAGAGGTCGGGTTAGGGTGCACTAGGCAAGTTTTTCAAAGGTCCCAAGGATCCTCACTGACCACAGGAATCACAGATTCCCACATATCTGGTGTGAACAGCCTTTGGAATTTGAAGGTCCATTTTAACTTTTTATGATGGAGAAATTTCAGTCAGAAGTAGATAGAACTCCATAGACCCATTACTCAAATTCAGTGCTTATCACCTTATGACCAATTTTGATTCTTCTCATAATGCATATACTGAGAATCCTTACAACCCACAGAGATTAGCAATCACTGCCCTTACTGGTTAAGAATATGGCCTCTACAGCCAGATCTCATCCAGGCTCAGTCATTTCATAGCTGTGCCATCTTGGGCAAGAGACTGACCTCTCTGTGTCTCAATTTTCTCATCTGTAAAGTGAAGATAAGAAATAGTACTTCACTGGGTGAGGAGAATCGGTGAAACTCCTACAGTACCTGGAACAGTCACTGGTATATACTCAGTGCCCAATAAGTACTATTAAGAACAAAGGTGAGGGAGGATCAGCTCAGCTCATGCTCAGTGTCAGCAGCATGTCAGGGCAGGCTGTGTTCCCAGCAAGCTGCCCACAGTCTTTTCTTCAGGGATAGGCCCATTCCTTTGAGGAGGAGGAGGCCCTACCCTACTGGAGCCGAGGGTTTCCAGTTACTCTTCTGAACCTTTTTTGTTCTTGATCTGCCCCCTGCAGCCCCTGCCTGCCCAGAGAGGACTGCCTGGTGGGCACAGAGAGGACTCCCGGGCTCCTGACAGTCCAGCTTCAGGTGGGGGCCCCTTCCCATTTGCATGCCGAACCTCGGTGGGTTTCCTTTGCTCAACTTTGACATCTTGTGCCCTACAGTGTCCCATTCGCAGGAAAACAAGGTGACAGTTTTCACAGGCACTATTCTTCAGACCTTGTGTCCTCATTCGTGACCCCTTTGATTTCTCCATGCCTCTCTGCTTCAGTATAAACTCTGTTGATTGAGCTCAGATGCGATCCCACTGGAAAGCATTCCTGGATTTCCCCCAGGGAATACTTCCAGTGTGTCCTTGTCAGCAGCAGAACACGCGACACTGTCAGGACTCTTGGGCTCTCAGGCTGCATTGTGACTGTCCAGCTGTCCCTCTGGATTGGGTACCTCATCCTTCTCCTCTTGAGTCACTGGCACCTGGTTAGGCTAAGCGGGTGATGTAGTTTGAAGACTTGCGTTGTCATCCTTGCTGGCTGGAAGGGACGTTCACGCTGGCTGGGCAGGGCGGGGGGTGTTATTGGAAAGGCGTGCGTTGGTCATTGTTGGAATGAACCCTAAATGACAGGTTAGTGAGTGTGGCCTTGATCTGAGGGCAGGGGGGAGCCTAGAGCAGTGACATGATTGCCCCCTCCAGCTATGGCTGTATGTCTTTCCTTTCTGTTAGAGCTAAACTTGAAAGAATTGTCCCTGCTGCTTCCTCCATGTCTATCCTTCCTCCATCTCTTTAATATTCGAATGAGGCCTATTCAGCTCTACCCACTGAAAAACATTCTCTTGGAGGATGTGCATCTCGTGGCTAATGGCCACAGTCAGTTCTCAGCAACATTTTACATTGTTGCATCATACTTCCTTCTTAAAATATCCTTTCACATGGTGGCTCCTGGTTTCCAGGTTTTCCTTTTACCTCATAGGCCGCTCCTCCTGTCCCTCTTCCCAGCTTTTCTTCTCCCAAACCCCCACTGTTCTTGGACTTTTCATCTTCTCCAGCCACACTGTCTCCATGGTGGCCCCATCTCCTCTCAAGGCCTTCAATGCCATCTCTCTGAGGTTCAGCCTAGGCCTGTGCCTTTCAGCCCAGATTCCAGTCTCCTGCTGTCTACTTCAGATTTCCTCTTGGATATGTCTTCAGCATCTCAAACCTAATGTGTCCAACAACAAACTCTGATCACCTCCCCAAACATGCTCCCCCCCAAGAGAATATAGACCACTCTTTCAGGGACTTTAGCTCTAATAGGGAGCAGAGACATGACATCTTCCTTCAGATTGCTCAGTGTCAAAACCTTGGCCTTTTTATACTCCATCCCTGCTAAGCAAATCTGGACTCACACACACAATCTCCAACCTCTGCTGCTTCCACCGTGGCCCAAACCACCACTATTTCACCTGGCTCACCTGGATAATCATATCTCTTGAATGATCTCTTTACATCTTCCCTCATCCCCCTAAAGTGTATTAGTAAGTACAGCAACCAGAGGGATCTTTTCAAATGTCAATCAAATCATGTCATGCATTTGCTCAAAACCTTCTAGTGGCTTCTTATCTCAGTCAAAGTCAGAATCAGTATCCTACAAAGTGGGGTATGATCTCCCCCCATGTTTACACTTGAACTTTCTCTTTCCTACTCAGGCTCAAGCACAGCACACCAGCCACAGTGAACTCTGTACCTTGACCATACACTGGCTCTTGCCTGCGATGCTCAGCATACCAGCCCCAGTGAACTGGCTCTTTTCAGACCTACCCACTTGGCTCACTCCTTCACATGCTTTAGCTGTTTACTCCGTCACCTTTTCAGAGGGGCCATGCCTAACCACTATTTAAAATTCCAAGCCCCACCCCATTAAATAAATAAATAAATAAATAAATAAATAAAATTCCAAAACCCCACCCTGCTTCTGTTACTCTTCTCCTTCCCTGCTATACTGGTCTTCATCTCACTCATCACTTCCTGATGTACTGTGTGTTTTACTCATTAATTTAGAATGCCCATCTTCCTCCTCTGGACTTTTGTGTCAGTGAGGGCAGATGTTTTTTTTCTTTGTTCACTTTTATATCCCCAGTGTCTAAAATAGTGCCTGTCATACAGTAAAAGCTTAATAAATATTTTACTGAATGAGTGAATGATCCAACTGTATGTACGTAGAGCTGATTCTGGAAGGAAGGGATGAGGCTGACTGGAATTCTGGGAGAGGGTCTGCAGACCCTACCAGGAGGGACTATGGCCATTGTCCTCCTTCCCCAGCAGGTATGGGAGTGGGGAGAAATTGAGAGAGTTTTCAGAGGTAGAATCAGTCAGCCTTAGTAATGGGCTTTCTGTGGCAAGTGGGGAAGTAATCCTGGTGTCTGAGTAAGGCACATGGGCGAGAGGGAAGGTGCTTCTGTCATTAAGAAAGTTGAGGAGGGAGAAGGCATGGCATGTCTGGAAGTGTTCTGAGTATTGATTGCTGCACAACAAACCACCCCAAAACTTAGTGGCTCAGAAGAATCAGCATGTTACAATTTCTCACAATTCTTTGGGTTTACTGGGATCAGCTTTGTGGTTCTTCTGCTCTGTGTGAGTTACAGACCTGGCTGTGGCCACAGTCCCTTGGGGACTTGTTTGGGTTGAAACATCAGAGAGGGTTCCTTCATATATTGGGCCCTTTCTGGGTTGGCTAGAAGGCTGGGGTCAGCTGGGACAGCTGGGCCTCACTCTGTCCATGTAGTATCAGGGCCTCTGTCTCTGCATGGTCTGTCCGGCAGAGGAGTTGAACTTCTTACATGGTATTTGGGCCTCCGTAGAACATAAGCTCTCTAGCCTTCTTAAGACATAAACCTGTAACTGGCACAGTGTCACTTGGGCCGCATTTACTGGGTAAAGCAGGAACAAGGCCAACCCAAAGGAGCTCCCAGTGTTTGAAGCTGGAATGATTTGAGCAGCCAAATAGTGATGATATTCTATTATAACCCATGGGATAAGCTATGAATCCATACTGATATAAAGAATTGAATAAATTAAAAAAATGGGGGAGAAGGGACAGCTCTTGCTTACAGAATAATTAATGAATTTAAAATTAAAAAGGGAAGTAGACCCTCGTCATTTGGTAAATACCACAGTAATAACTACCGTGGACACATCCTACAAACGCATGCTAACATTAGTGAGTGGACATTTGAAGAGAAACAGGGTATTTGTATAATCTCAAAGTATCTCTCCCAAGATATTTATTATAAAACCCCAGCAGACATCGCCTTAACCAAGTGATCAAGATCAAGGTTAATATCATCAGTAATAGACATATCAGTATCATCAACTCCTTGATGCAGTGCACTGAAAAGGACATGACATCACTTCTGAGATAATCTAGCCAAAAATGAACTAACCTCCTTCTGATCGTGAAAAAAACATCTGACAAACCCAAAATTGAGGGATATTCTTCAAAAGTGTCAAGTTCACGAAAGACAAGAAAAGACAGGAACTGTCACAGATTGGAGGAAATTAAACATACCTGGCAACTAAATACAATATGGGAACTTCATCTGAATCCTGGACCAGAAAAAGGACACTAGTGGAAAAACCGACAAATTTGATTAAGGACTGTGATTTAGTCAATGCCAATTTCCTGGTTTTGATCATTGTACTATGGTTTTCTAAGATGTTAACATTAGAGAAAGCTGGGTGAAGGTTAAATGAGAATTGATATTTTTGCAACTTCTCTATAAGACTAAAATTAGTTCAAAATAAAAAGTTCTAAAAATCCATCAATCTTATGTTCTTGAGTTTTTTTTTTTTAAGTAAGGAATGGGTGTTGAGTTTTGTTAAAGAATATTTCAGCATGCATAAAAACACTTGGTTTTTCCCTTAGATCTGTTGATTAATATGGTATATTATAGTAATGGATTTCCTAATACTGCACCAATCTTGAATTTCTGGGAATCCCACTTTGTCTTGGTGAAATATTTTCTTACTGTCATGGTGGAGTCTCTTAGCTGATATTTCTAGAATTTTGCTTCAATATTCATAAGTGATAATGGTCTTTAATTTTCAGTTTTTTGAACTACCATCAAGTTTAGGTGTCAACATTAGAGTTGCTTTATAAAAAGAATAAGGAAGTTCCCTTCATTTTTCAGTGCTCTGGGACAGTGTTTTGAGCATTGGTACTATCTGGTTTGAAAGGTTGGTGAAATTCCTTTGTGACCATCTAGCGTCAATTACATTTCCTTAGAAGCTATGTATTTCATCTAGGTATACAAATTTTTTTATAAAGGTCTGAAAAATACTCTTATATGACTTTTTAAAAATGTGTTTTGGTGAGTCAGTAGTTATTTCCCCTATGTTATTTCTTACTTTCAATATTTATGCTTTCTCTCTTTTTTTTTAAAGATTTTATTTATTTGACAGAGAGAGACACAGCGAGAGAGGGAACACAAGGGGGGGAGTGGGAGAGGGAGAAGCAGGCTTCCTGCTGAGCAGGGAGCCCAAGGCGGGGCTCGATTCCAGGACCCTGGGATCGTCACCTGAGCCGAAGGCAGACGCTTAACGACTGAGCCAGCCGGGCGCCCCGGCTTTCTCTTTTCTTAAGTTAGCCATGTTTCACTAATTTTTTTATAGAAATTAAGATTTCGGGGCGCCTGGGTGGCTCAGTTGGTTAAGCGGCTGCCTTCGGCTCACGTCATGATCCCAGGGTCCTTGCTCAGCAGGGAGCCTGCTTCTCCCCTGCCTGCCGGTCCCCCTGCCTGTGCTTGCTCTCTGTCTCTGTCTCTCTGGTTCTCTCTGTGTCAAATAAATAAATAAAAGCTTAAAAAAAGAAATTAAGATTTCACTTATTACACTTTTTTCTGTTCATTAATTTCCGTTCTTATCTTTATTAAAATATCTAAAGCTGTACATTTCCCTTGCTCACTGTTTTAAATGAGTCCCACACATCCACAGGGTTTTCATTATTATTTTTAGAAATTCTGTGACTTCATTTGTGTTTTCCCTCCAACTCCCACCTAATGCAACATTCAGTAAACCTTTTCTACTTTCCCCTTCCCTTGTCTCTTCTCCCATTTTAGAGGCATTTCTACTTTATCAGAACACATGCCATATACCATTAGTATATATTTTTCTTCCCTGCTCTCTTACCCACTGTGTTGTGCTAGATCTACAGTTAAATATATTAAATGCTCACCATCAGTTCTTTACCTGGTTTCCCTTTCCTGTCTTATCATGTTTAATATTCATCTTCCAGTAGATTCCTCACAAAGAGCTTCTCACAAAGAGCTTATGCCTACGGAATTCCCCAAGCTCTTGCATGTGTAAAATGGTTTCCTATAGGCTTCTTACTTGAAGAATCCCTTGGATGAATATGAAATCTTTGGCTCATAATGTCTTTCCTTTAAGTTTCTGGTAAATGTAGCTCCACTGCTTTGGATGACTTTTTTTTTTTCATACATTTTTTTAATGTGGTAAAATATATGTAACACAAAATTTATCATTTTAACCATTTTAAATGTATAGTTCAGCAGCATTAAGTATATTCACATTATTGTACAACCACCCCACTCTCCATCTCCAGAACTTTTTTCATCTTTCCAAACTGAAACTCTGTACCCATTAAGTAATAACTCCCTATTTTCCCTTCCCCTGAGCCCTTCTCAACCATCCTTCTACTTCTGTCCATGTGAATTTAATTACTCTAATTACCTCATGTATGTCAAATCATACAATATGTGTCTTTTTGTGTCTGATTTATTTCACTTAGTCTGATGTCTTCAAGGTTAAACTATGTTGTACCATGTGTCAGGATTTCCCTTTTTTATCTCTGTGTGTGTATGTGTGTGTGTGTGTGTGTGTGTGTGATTTTGTTTATCCATTCATCTGTTAATGGACATTGGGTTGTTTCCATGTTTTAGCTATTATGAATACTGCTATAAACATAAGTGTACAAATATCAGTTCCAGGGGCGCCTGGGTGGCTCAGTCGTTAAGCGTCTGCCTTCGGCTCAGGTCATGATCTCAGGGTCCTAGGATCGAGCCCCACATCAGGCTCCCTGCTCTGCGGGAAGCCTGCTTCTCCCTCTCCTGCTCCCCCTGCTTGTGTTCCCTCTCTCGCTGTCTCTCTGTCAAATAAATAAATAAAATCTTTAAAAAAAAAAAAAATCAGTTCCAGTCCCTACTTTCAGTTCTTTTGGGATATCCCCAGAAGTGGGATTGGTAGATTTTATGATAATTCTATTTTTAATTTTTTGAGCAAACACTATACTGTTCTCCATTGTGGCTGCACCATTTTATATTCTGAACAGTGCAAGATGGGTTGAATGATGATTTTGATAATTTTGATGAAAGTCTGATATATTTTTTGCCTAAGATCCTTTAGGATTCTTGTTCTTAAAGGCCTGATAGCTTTTCTAGTAGATATCTTGAAGTGGGTAGTTGTGAGTAAACTTCCCTGGTACTCTATAGGTCCTTTCATATTTAGATTCAGGTCATCTATTCTTGAAGTTTTCTTGGACTGTAGTTTTAAATATTGTTTCCTTTTTGTTTGTTTGTTTTCTTCAGGAACTACAATTATGTGGGTGATATTCCCTTTATTGTCTGATTTCCATTTCAACCACTTTCTCTCTAGCCCATCCTTTGTTTCATTTTTTTTCTCTCAAGTGGTTTTCCTGCTACACTTCAACGCCCATCCTGTTTTCATTTCAATCTATTCTTTGCTGTCTTGTAACTTAGTTTCATTTCTTTCTGAACTTCAGTCAACACTCATTTTGTTTCTTTTATTTTTTTGTCCATTTCTGTTCTTAGCTTTTGAGTTTTGTTTCCAGGTTTGCTGAAATATAATTGATATGTAACATTGTATTAGTTTAAGGTGTGCACCATAATGATTTGATACATGTATATGTTGGGAAATGATTATCACAATAAGTTTAAGACTATTTCCTCAACATAGTTACAAATTTGAATTTTTGATTCAAGATGATTTCTCATATGCCCAAATGTTTGAGGATATTGAATTCAGCTTGTAGTGTTTTGTTATTCTTTTTCTCTATTACTATTTTTTTTCTTTCCTTTCCTTTTCTTTCTTTCCTTCTTTCTTTTTTTGTAGAATTTTTTTTAGCTGAACTCTGGAATAGAGGAGGACTGCACATCTGCATTTCTGTAAACAACTGTCAGATTCTTGTGTTTTTGAAGGGAAACTTTTCTGTTAGTGTAACTAGTATGATTCCTTTGCTGGATTGCAGCAGGAGGAGAGATAGTGTGTTCTTTTTTTAATTCTCTTCTCTTTTGCAGGACCCTGTATTTCCCCCTTGCTTATTTTTCCCTTTACCTTGGAGTTTCCAAGAGTTGCCTTTTCCTTGCTTGTAATCCCCTTTTCCCTTGGAGCTTCCCCTTTCCAAGACATCCTGTGCTCATTCTGCCTAAGCTTTTAAGTCCCATCCCTGTAGTAAGTATTCTGACCTATCAGTACACATTTTCAGCATTTTCTCATGCATGGTAATGTTTCTTTTCTGATGGTTGTTTTCTATCAACTTTATTTTTTATTTTTTTTTAAGATTTTATTTATTTGACTGAGAGAGACACACAGAGAGAGGGAACACAAGCAGAGGGAGTGGGAGAGGGAGAAGCAGGCTTCCCGCGGAGCAGGGAGCCTGATGCGGGGCTCGATCCCCTGAGCCGAAGGCAGCCGCTTAACGACTGAACCACCCAGGCGCCACTTCTATCAACTTTAAATCTGCTGTTAATGCCTCTCTTCTCTCTTTCATGTAGTTTTACCCCCTGAGCTGCTCTTCTACTCTCTGATGGCTTAATGTTGGAAGTAAACGAGATAGCTCACTGGTTTCGTGTTTTATGCTTTTTAAAATTTTTTTTTTATTTTTTGCTTTTTTTATAGGTAATTTATTCACAGGTAATTTGAAGTTAGAATATCCTCTGTCCAGGTATGCTGAAAGGATGTATGTTTTGTGTAAATGACCTGTGTTTCAGTAGAAGCTTATCTAAGGTATTTAGCAATCTTTGACTTGATTGGATTCAAGCTCTAAACTCAGTCTCACCTGTGAACAGTAGCAGAAACCTGCACAGCTCCATTCACCTTCCATCCATTGTTAACCACTTGAGCTCTTTGTTTCTTGCCTTCTGCATTCAGCCAAAGTATTCAACCAACTTTAGGAGGTGCTTGTGTGTAGATTTGAGGCTCCATCCCTAGTTGCTCCCACTTTTCTAGGATTTTGCCAGGCTGTTTCCAGAAAGTCTGGAAGCCACAGACTATTGATCTGTTCCTCCTGTGCCACTTGAACTGGGGAGTGCCCTCAGGTGAAAAACGAGTTAAATACGGGTCTCACCAGTATGCATCCCTTCTTTCAAGGGTTGTACCCCCTCCGGTTTCATACTGCTTTTGGTTGCGGTATCTTCAATTTTTTTTTTAATGTTTTGGTTAGGGTGTATAGTTATTAGTAAAAGGGTTAGTTTGATGCAAGCTGTTCTCAGTATCACAATCTAATGCTACTGGTTTTTAATTTACTCTTTCTTGTTCTTTTAAAAAACATTTTCTTCTCTTTTTCTCAGTTTTTGTTTTTTTCCTACTTTCTGGAGTAGAAAGCAAGTGAAAACAATTAGTTGGGTTTTTTTGTTGTTGTTGTTTTAAACCCAATACATTTGACAGTTCAAAAAACTGGCATTTTCCCTTTGTGGTTTCTTACTTTCAATATTTATGTTTTCTCTTAAGATAGCTGTGTTTATTTCACTGAATTTTTAAGAAATTAGGATTTCACTTATTACCCATTTTTCTGTTCCTCAATTTCTGTTCTTTATTAATATATCTAAAACTGTACATTTCCTTCATCTCACTGTTTTAAATGAATCCCACACATCCACAGGGTTTTCATTATTATTTTTAGAAAATCTGTGACTTCATTTGTGTTTTCCCTCCAACTCCCACCTAATGCAGCATTCAGTAAACCTTTTCTACTTTCCCCTTCCCTTGTTTCTTCTCCCATTTTAGTGGCATTTCTACTTTATCAGAACACGTGCCATATACCATTAGTATATATTTTTCTTCCCTGCTCTCTTACCCACTGTGTTGTGCTAGATCTACAATTCTGTATATTAGATGCTCACCATCAGTTCTTTACCTAGTTTCCCTTTCCGGTCTTACTGTGTTTAATATTCATCTTCCAGTAGATTCCTCACAAAGAGCTCAAGGCTATAGAATTCCCCAAGCTCTTGCATGTGTAAAACTCGTTTCCTATAGGCTTCTTACTTGAAGAATCCCTTGGATGAATCAAGTATTAACCAAAAGTGTGGAAAGGGGCACATACTTAATATGTGGTCATTGGCATTGTGAGTTGGTCAGCCTTTGGAGGGCAATTTGGCAGTGTAAGCACATGTTCAAAATTAAGCCCAGTAATTCCACTCTGGTAGCACTCATACAGAATGAGTGACATGTTTGCAAAAAGGTATTGCTTATAACATTTTGGTGATAAATACGACAGCCTGTCCAATGACAGAAGAATACTTTGTTAAAGAAAATGTGGTCTGGGGGCGCCTGGGTGGCTTAGATGGTTAAACGTCTGCCTTCGGCTCAGGTCATGATCTCAGGGTCCTGGGATCGAGTCCCACATCGGGCTCCTTGCTTAGCAAGGAGCCTGCTTCTCCCTCTGCCTGCCACTCCCCCTGCTTGTACTCTCCCTCTCTCTGTCTCTGGCAAATAAATAAATAAAATCTTTAAAAAAAAAAAAAAAGAAAATGTGGTCTGCTGTTGGACAAAGTATAACAATTATTAAAAAGAATGGAGTTTTAAAAGAAATTTTTTTTTTAAATAAAAACAATGGAGTTAGGTCTGTGAGTACTGGTGTACACATAGACCCAAGATATTAAATGCAAATAAGTCAGAATACAGATGGTTTTTATTTATGGGAAAGTGACATTGTTACTTTACATGTTTACACATGTACCCAAATACAAATGAAAATGACGAGACAAAATGATAAAGAGCACTAATGAAATAGTTAACAGCAGTTACCCAGATGTGGGCCTGGGGCAAAGTCCAGAAAGAGAACTAAACTTTTTCCTTTATAATCTTCAGATTACTCTGGATTCTTTCTAACACTAACAGAGATGTTAATCACATGTATAATTACATCGAATGAAATTAAACCACAAAAGTAAATTTCTTGAAAAATGTCTTTTGACTTCCCTTATGAATGATTTGCCATTTTATTTCATTTTTTCCCTAACCACTTCGTCCAAGTCATAATATTTATTTATTTAATCTGAGTTGTCATAGTTTATTATTTAAAATTGATCATTTATTCTTGCCAGTTTCTGTCCTTGGTTATTGCTTTGGATTCCACTAGTTTTGTTCTCAACACACTGTTTTTTCTGTCCTGGCTATCCAATGAAAAAACTGTATACTTTTTACTTTTTTAATGAAAATTCTCAAATATAAAAGAGACAACAGCATAATGACCATCCTTACATACATCATCTTGATTTAACGCTTCTTAACATTTTGCCATATTCCATAAGTTTTTTTGCTGGCTAAGAATTTTAAAATAATTTTTATTAATGGAAGAATTCCAGACATGTTCAAAAGCAGCAAGAATAGTATAATAAAGCCCCAACTTTAACAGTCATCACCATGTTGCAGTCTTGTTTCATGTTTTTGTCTCATTTTTTCTGAAATGTTTTTAATCATTTCCATCCATAAATACTTCAATATGTATCTTTGAAAAACAACCAGAATACCATTTTCACAACCCCTCAAATTCGTAATCCTGCATTTAACGTTATGTACTTCCAAGTAAATGGCCTCAAAAATGTCCTTTTACATTTAACTTGTTATCAGGAGAGTTTGGAACTGAACCTGTTGAAGGCCTGGCTTTCTGAACCTTTTTCCAGGGCCCTAGTTGAGAATCAGCCTGGTAATATCATGCCACCTGTCCCCCAGCTGAGGCAGGTCCTGCCTCACTCATGGGGAGAGCATTTCTACCTGACACCCTTTCATTTCTGTTTTCCTTACCCAGATCTGCCTTCTGAGATATCCTTCTTTAGGGATACCAGGGAAAATGGCCACAGGGTGCCGGAAAGCCAGGGTAATGGTGAGTGTTTTCTGTATTTCCACACTGGCTGTGTCAGGATAGACTCATTTTCTTATTCTGGCTGCCTTGTTGGTACCTGGCAGAGTCTAGCATTAGTCTTGGAGTGATTTACTTTACCTGAAGCCTGTTCCATCTATGATTTAAGTCACTCACCAAGTGGCTAACCCTGAACAACGCACAGTTCTACAGGACAGGAGAGAGTCTACATTCCTTTGTTCAGCTTTAAAATTTTTATAAGCTGAGAGTGATATCAGGGAAAATAATGAAGTAGGAAGCACCAGGAATCTGTCTCCCCACATAGGCAACAATTTTATTGGCAAAATCTGTCTGATGTAACTATTTTGGAACTCTGGAGTCTAGCTGAATGCTTGCAGCTTCCAAGGGAAGGTTTGGAACGGTCAGTTTCCACTCTTAGTGCAGTACCCATCACCCATCCCCATCCCCCATGGCAGAAAGCCATGCATGTGTTCCTGAAGCAGTTTGCACACAGCTTGCAGAGGCCAGGGTGGGCAGTAAGGACCTTGTCCTCCAAATACTGAGGATCTGTATTCTGATTCCTGATTGCTGCTTCTCATTACAGAAATGGGCATTACATTGTTACAACCCCCACTGGCTGAAGTAGGAGATTCAAAGAACCAGATCCTGGGAAATTTCTTCCTCTTTATTTTTTCCCTTTTCGCCTTTTTTGTCAGACATTTCAGGATGGAACATCCAAAACAACTGCATGTATCCCTATACATCCTTTTGATTTAGAAAGTTACCATGCATGCCCATGGAAAGGCACAGGATCAGAAAAGCATAAGAAAGACCCAAGAAGGGCAGCTGGGTGGCTCAGTTGGTTGAACGACTGCCTTCGGCTCAGGTCATGATCCTGGAGTCCTGGGATTGAGTCCCGCATCGGGCTCCCTGCTCGGCAGGGAGTCTGCTTCTCCCTCTGACCTTCCCCTCTCTCATGTTCTCTCTCTCTCTCATTCTCTCTCTCAAATAAATAAATAAAATCTTTAAAAAAAAAAAAGAGACCCAAGAAAACCCTAAGTTTACACCATAGGCTGAATCGCAGCACAGACAGCCTACAATAGTTTTAAAACCCAGTAGATACTAGGGAGTCTGAGTTCTAGAGTTGTCATATTATAAGATTCAGATATCCAATTTTCCACAAAAAATCAGGAGGCATACAAAGAAACATGAGAATATAGTCCATTCAGAGGAAAAAAATAAATCATTAAAAACTATCCCTGATAAAGGCCAGATGGTGGGACTTACTGGACAAAGACTTTAAAACAGTGGTCTTAAGATTCTCTTAGCTAAAGGAAGACATGAACAAAATCAAGAAAATTATTTTAGGACAAAATGGAAATAGAAATAAAGAGACAGAAGACATAAAAAGCAAATAAGAAGCTCAACAAACTCCAAGTAGGATAAAGTGTCAAAGAGACCCACACCACAATACAGTGTAACCAAACACTTGAAAGCCAAAAGCAACATAGAATCTTGAAAACAGCAAGAGAGAAGCAACTTGTCATATACAAAGGGTCCTCTAAAATCTATCAGCAGATTTCTAATCAGTAACTTTGGAAGCCAGAAGACAGTGGGTTGATATATTCCATGCTGAAAGAAAAAATTGTCAACCAGGAATTCTATATCCAGCAAAAACTGTCCTTCAAAAGTAAGGGAGAAATCAAGACATTCCCAGAAAAAGAAAAAGTCATATAGTTTGCAGCCACCAGACTTGCCTTGCAAGAAATACTCATGGGAGTCTTTGAGGGTGCAATGAAATGATACTAGACAGTTACTTGCTGCTATAGGAAGAAATAAATTTCTACAGGTAAATAAGTTGGCAGTTACATAAGCTAGTGTTATTGTCACTTTGGTTTACTACACTTTTTGTTTTCTGAATGATTTAAGAAATTAATGCCTTAAAACACAATTATGAGTCTATATTTTTTGACACAATGCATAGAGGTGTAATTTTATGACTTTAATAACTGACAAGAGGTGAGGATAGAGCTATATAGAATTGTGCTATTGAAGTTAAGCTGATATCAATTCATATTAGGGTGGTATAACTTTAGGATGTTAAATTTAATCACTGTGATAACTCTAATGAAAATAGGTATAGAATGTACACAAAAGGATATGAAGGGGCGCCTGGGTGGCTCAGTTGGTTAAGTGTCCGACTCTTGATTTCAGCTCAGGTCATGATCTCAGGGTTGTGAGATCAAGCCCCACATCGGACTCTGTGCTGGGCATGGAGCCTGCTTAAGATATTCTCTCTCTCTTCCCCTCTCCCTCCTTCCCTCTCCTAAAAAAAAAAAAGAAAGAAAGAAAAAGATCTCCAGGAAACAACATAATTTTACAACTTAAGAGTCTAGAAAAAGAACAAACTAAACCCAAGGTAGCAGAGGAAGAAAAGAGTCAAGATTAGAACAGGGTTAAATAGAGAATAGAAAAATAATAGAGAAAAATCAATAAAACCAAAAATTATTTCTTCAAAAAGTTTATCAAAATTGACAAAACCTTTAGCTAGCTTGACTGAGAAAACAAGAAAGCTCAGATTACTAAAATCAGAAATGAAGTGGGGCATTACTGCTGATTCTACAGAAATAAGGGGGGTTATATGAGACTGTTAAAAACTATTGTACCCCAACAAACTGGATGGCCTGGATGAAATGGACAGCTTCTTAGAAACAGAAAACCCCAGGACAGAATCAGTAAGAAACAGAAAGTCTTAAAAAAAAAAAAAAAGAATTAGAAAGTCTTGATAGACTAGTAAGGAGATTAAATCAGTAATCAAAAGCTCCCAACAAAGAACAGCCCTGGACTGATGCCTTCACTGGTGAATTTTATCATGCATTTAAAGAAAAACACCAATTCTCAAACATTTCCCCCCCTCAACATGAAGAAGGAACGCTGCCTAGCTAATTCTGTGAGGTCAGCATCACCTTGATACCAAAATCAGACAAACCTTGATACAAAACCAGTAAAGAAAATTACAGGCCAAGATCTCTTATGAGTACTGGTGCAAAAATTCTCAACATAATACTAGCAAACCAAATTCAGCATATTAGAAGAATTATACACTTTTCTACAGTAGTAAAAGAATTCTATACACTGTATAGAATTATACAGCATATTTAAAAAATCACACTGACTAAGTCTAGTCCTAGAATGCTAGGATGGTTCAACGTGTAAACATCAATAAATATACCACATTAACAGATGAAGAGCAAAAACCCCACGGTCATCTCAGCTGATGCAGAAAGTATTGATAAAATCCAGCACTCTTTTATGATAAAAATGCTCAATAAGCTAGGAATAGCTCATGTATATGAAAAACTCACAGCTAACATACTCCATGGTAGAAGACTAAAAGATTTTTCTGTAAGATCAAAGATCAGATATGACACATATACCCACTTCTGCCACTTCTGTTGAACACAGTATTAGAAGTTCTAGCCAGAGTAAGTAGGAAAGAAAAGTAAAAAAAAAAAAAAAAAAAAAAAGTATCTAAATTAGAAAGGAAGAAGTAAAATTAGCAGATGACATGACTGTGTATATGTAGAAAAGATTCCAGACACACACACAAAACCTGTTAGAATTAATATACAAATTCAACAAAATAGCAAGATACAAAATTAACACACAAAAGCCAGCTGCATTTCTATACACTAACAATGAACAATCGGAAAAAGAAATTAAGAAAACAATTCTACTTCCAATAGCATCAAAAAGAATAAAATACTTAAAAAAAAACTTAAGAAGGCAAAAGACTTGTACATTGAAAAATACAAAACCTTCCTGAAATAATTAAAGAAATGGAAAGACACCATGTTCATGAATGGAAATTTTAATATTGCTAAGATGACAACAGTACTGAAGTCGATTCAGTGTAATCTCTACAAAAATCTCAATGGCTTTTTCTTTTCTTCTTCAGAAATAGAAAACTTAATCTTAAAAAAAAAAAAAGAAATAGAAAACTTCACCTTAAAATTCATATGAAATCTCAAGGGACTCTGAATAGCCAAAACAATCTTGAAAAAGAACAAACATGAAGGGCTCACAGTTCTTGATTTCAAAATTTACTACAAAGTTGCAGTCATCCAAGCTGTTTGGTACTGGGATAAAGACGGAATTACAGACTAATGGAATAGAACACAGAGCCCAGAAATAAACCCTCATGTATATGGTCAAATGATTCTGGACAAGAGTACCAAGACCATTCAATGTGGAAAAGACAGTCTATTTAATAGATTGTGCTAGGAAACTATGCCTACATGCAAAAGAATGTAGTTGGACCCTTAATCTCACACCATATACAAAAATGAACTCAAAATGGATTGAAAACCTAAACAGAAGGAACTAAAACTATAAAACTCTTAGGAAAAAGACAGGGGAAATCTTCATGAAACTGGGTTTAGTGGTGAGTTCTTGGATATTACACCAAAAGCCCAGGCAACAAAAGAAGAAATAGATAAATTGGTCTTCATCAGAATTTATAACCTCTGTGCAAATATATTTCCAAATCACTTATCTGATAAGTGATCTGATAAGTGATTAACATTCAGAATATATAAAAAACTGTAACCCAACAAAAATACAAACACCCCAATTCAAGAATGGGCAAAGAAAAGAATTTGAATAGATATTTTGCAAATAAGTTATATAAATGGCAAATAGGCATGTGAAAAGATGATCATCATCACTAATCATTAGGGAAATGCAGTCTAAGTCCACAGTGAGATACCATTTTACACTCATCGGATGGCTGTTATAAAAACAAAATAAAACAAAGCAACAAGTATTGGTGAGGATGTGGAGAAATTAGAACCCCTCTGCATCGCTAGTGGAGTTGTAAAATGATGCAGTTGCTGTGGAACACAGTGATTCCTGAAAAAAATGAATGTGACATTCCCATTTGCTCTTGTAATTCTACTTCTGAGTATATACCCCCAGATAATTGAAAGCAGGGACTCAAACAGATCACTATACACCAATTTGTGAGGTAGTATTATTCACAGTCATTAAAAAGTGAATACAAACCAGATGTCCATCAATGGATGAATGGTCTATACATAAAATCAAATATTTTTTAGTCTTGAAAAGAGAGGAAATTCTGAGTTCATGCTTCCAAAGGAATGAACCCTGAAATTAGCCAGACACAAAAGGACAGATATTGTGTAAGTCCACTTAACTTGCAGTACGTAGAATAACCACATACATAGAGATGGAAACCAAAATGGTAGTTATCAGGGTTTGGGAGGAGGAGGGGTTATTATTTAATGGTTACAGTTTCAGCATGGGATGATGAACAAGTCCTGGAGATGGATAGCCATGATGGTTGTACAACTATGTGAATGTACTTAATCCTACTGAAATGTACACCTAAAATGGTAAAAATAGTGTAATATTTGTTAGGTATATTTTACAATAAAAATTTAAAAATCTATAGGCTGCTACATTCCACCTCTTCTGTATTCTACCTTTTATTCCTCCCGGGTTGTCCTCCGTGTCCACATGGTGGCCTCCTCTCTTCCTTTGCTCACAGTGTCATCTTCTCCGCTCCCTGCATGCTTCATCTGGAATACCTAACACTTCCCTCTTCTCCTCACTCCTGCCCATTCTTTAAGAGAAGTCCCTGGGGCTGCCTCAGGACCCTTTTCCTGATGTCTGTATTTCACTGTGCCCACCATTTTGAAAAAGAGTTAAGGAGATGAGTAAAACTGGGCAGGGGGGTGAGAATGAATATAGAGATGAATTTGAAGGTTGAGTAGCCAAGAAGGTCCACCCTGAGCATCCACAGTGTGGGGCCATAAATTTAATATACTATTATCTACATTTCACTAGTTGACCACAGAGGTGGATCCCAAACCCAGGCAGTACGTTCAAGTCCATGCTCCTCACTATGCCCCACTTGTGCCTCTCAGACCCAAGGAGGCCAAGGGACCATGGCATTTACGGAAAGGACTGAGTTATAGTTAGGCTGTGCCATTATTGAATTGTATGAACTTTAGTCATTCAGATGCTTCAATACTAACATGATTGGTAATATTACTTAATTTTTTAAATTCTTAAAATTCAAAGTCTGTTACATTTTTACTTTTGTTTACTTTTTATTTATTGTTTGCTCTTCTATCTGCCTAGATTTAAAGTTCCTAAAAGTTAGGGACTTTTTTTTTGCACATATTCTCCACACAGCCCACCCAGGATCTTGAATGTAGATTCACAGGTGTTGTTGGCTGGATAGCAACAGAGGTTTAAAGGTCTTGGAACACAAGGCATCAGGGTCACAGTCAAAGGCAGAGTATTTTTTTTTTAATTTATTTGTAAAGATCTGTTTATTTTATTTTGAGAGAGAGTGTGTGCGCGGGCACACACAAGTGGGGGGAGGGACAGAGAGAGTGGGAGAGAGAATCCCAAGCAGGCTCCACGCCCAGTAGAGTCTGACATGGGGCTCAATCTCATGACTGAAATCAGGAGTCGGACACTTAACTGACTGAGCCACCCAGGTGTCCCTAAGATTTATTTTATTTCAGAGAGAGAGAGAGAGAGCACGAGCAGGGGGAGGGGCAGAAGGAGAGGGAGAGAGAATCTCAAGCAGACTCCCTGCTGAGTGAGGAGCCCGACACGGGGCTTGATCTTAGGACTTTGAGGTCATGACCTGAGCTGAAATCGAGTCAGAGGCTTAACTGACTGAGCACAGGGTGCCCCCAAGACAGAATCTTGGTAGCTCACCCGCCTCCCACCGGGCAGCATCCTCCCTTCCCCTCAGCCTGAGTCGTGGGCAAGGCTGGCTCCTCAGTGAGCAGAGCTGTGTTTTCTGTTACAGGCACACATGGCATTCAGAGATGTGGCTGTGGATTTCAGCCAGGAAGAGTGGATGCTGCTGAGCCCCGCTCAGAGATCCCTGTACAGGGAGGTGATGCTGGAGAACTACAGCAACCTGGTCTCACTGGGTAAGCCCTGGAATCTCTAAGGACTCAACGTCCTTGCTGCGGGGCATTTTAGGCTGTGCTTGAAGCAGCCATCTTGCTTTCTGAGTTGGCCCTTGTGCCCCGAACCTACAGCCACCTTGTTTTTTCTTTTCCTGTGAGCAGGAATTCCATTTTCTAAGCCAAAACTTATCACCCAGCTGGAGCAAGGGAAGGAAACCTGGAGAGAGGAGAGAACATGCCCACCAGCCACCCGTCCAGGTGAGTGGGGAGTGCTACACAAACGGAGAACGGAGCTGCAGGCAGCTCGGCGTGGGAGACAGGAGGCATTGCCCTGGTGCTAGAGAGCAGCTGTTCTCACCTCCCGTGCTGTGGTTGGCATTGCCTGGCATGGCCTCCCTTCTAGACCTTCATCCTCACCTAAGGGCAGGGCTCTCCTGGTGTCTCTCATCTCCTTCTGCCACTAGAAGTCTTTCTTCCTCCCACTGGGTTTGCCCTCTTTCCCTCACTCAGATCTCTTCCGTAGGCATGGGCTTCTTTTTTTTGCTTTTCTTTTTAAAGATTTCATTTATTTGAGAGAGAGAGAGAGAGAGAGATAGCAAGCGAGAGAGAGAGAGAGGGAACACAAGCAGGGGGATCAGCAGGCAGAGGGAGAAGCAGACTCCCTGCTGAGCAGGGAACCCGATGCAGGGCTCGATCCCAGGACCCTGGGATCATGACCTGAGACAAAGGGAGACGCTTAACCCACTGAGCCACCCAGGCGCCCCTCATGGACTTCTTTCTGTTACTGTTTTTTAAAAAGATTGAGCAAGAATGTAAGAAAAAACCCAGCAAGCTACAGAAAGAGGGCAAGCTTGCAGATGGCCACCTTCTCTTTATGTCCTCACATGGCTTCTCTGCACGTGCACATCCTTGATGTTTCTCCCTCCTCTTGTAAGGACGCTATTCACATCAGATAAGGGCTCTACCCTTGTGACCCCTTTAACCTTAATTACCGCTTAATTAAGGTTTAATTTAATTACCTCTTTAAAGGCCCCATCTCCAAATACAGTAACATTCTGTATCGAATACTGGAATATAGATGTGTATACAATTGATTTTTAAAAGTTCAGTTCATTGGGACACCTGGGTGCCTCAGTCAGTTAAGCGTCTGCTTCGGCTCAGGTCATGATCTCGGGGTCCTGGGATTGAGCCCCGCGTCAGGCCCTCTGCTCAGCAGGGAGTCTGCTTCTCCCTCTCCCTCTGCTCCTCTCCCTGCCTGTGCTTTCTCTCTGACAGATAAATAAAATCTTTAAAAAAATAAAAAAATAAAAGTTCAGTTCATTGATCAAGAAAATTGTGTTCAGGTTGGTCCAGTACCATCACTACCTGGTTTCTCAAATTATTTGGTCGTTTATTGCCTTCAGAAGACTAGACGCAGCTGTGATAAAACAATACACTCAGCATCTTCTACACACGAGGTACCATACGAAGAAATTTTTGCTTCTATGCTGATTTCTGGGAAGATTTTTGTTTAGATTAATTATGGAAATTAACAGGGCTTAATCTGGTCAGGAACCCCAGGAGGGAGCATCTTTAAGAGAGTAAGGGACTATACTGTGTTTGTGTCATCCATTGCTGAAAACCTATGGCCTTGTAGAAATTCTGGCCCAAAGTCATCCTCTAATAAATATTCGTTAGTGAGTGGAGGAACTCCAGGCATCTCACACATGATCTCTTTAACCATTTTTATGCTGCTTCCTACAACTAGGGGTTCTCCATTCTGAATGAGTGTTCTCTCCATCTGTCCCTTTGTTCTCAGGGGGAAATAGGGAAAGACCTGACATTTCCATACAGGTCCTCTGGTCAGATCTCACTCAGTCAGAGGAGATACTCGTGGACACGGTTTCGGTCATGTGTGTGGTGGCTCCCAGTTGTGGGAGCCGGGGAGGTTAGTGGCCCTATATAAAAGAGCTGAAACTGCCTGGGATGATTTTTATAGCTGGCTTCACACGGGAGAGGCTTGGGAGGGGGCTTTCTGGGTTGTAATGGAAGAGGCTGGAAGAGCACGTCATTTAAAGGAAGTCTTGGCTGGGTAGCTCTCCAGTTTTAAGCATTTTGAAGAGCAGGGAAGCGGGTCTCCCAGCAGACTGGGCAGAATTGCTCGGGCTGCCCCACAGCGTCTCAGTTCTGACTCCAACTTTTCCCTCTGCAGTGGAACCAAAGCCAGAACTCCACCTCTGTCCTTTCTGCCCTTCGGATTTTTCCAGTCAGAAAATCCACGTGCAGCACATGCTGTGTAATCATCCCCCCTGGGTCTTCACATGCCTGTGTGCAGAGGCTCCTGTCGAGCCCGGGGATCCGTGCCCAGGGGACCAGAAGCAGCAGCAACAGGCCTCAGATCGAGAGCCCTGGAGGGATAAAGCAGAAGGTCAAGAGAGAGAAGGCGCCAGGCCTTTGTTTGGCAAGACAAAGAAGAGGACTTCGGGGGCATTCTCTAGGCCACCCCAAAGGCAGCCAGTCAGCTCCCGGAGTGGCCTCAGAGGCGTGGAAATAGAGTCCAGCCCCGCCCCGACAGGGAACCCCGAGGAAGCAGACAGACTGTTGAAGAGGATAGAAGTCTTAGGATTTGGAACGGTCAACTGTAGAGAGTGTGGACTGGGCTTCAGCAAGATGACAAACCTGCTCAGTCACCAGAGGATTCACTCCGGGGAGAAGCCGTATGTGTGTGGGGTGTGTGAGAAGGGCTTCAGTCTGAAGAAGAGCCTTGCCAGGCACCAGAAGGCACACTCGGGGGAGAAACCGATTGTGTGCAGGGAGTGCGGCCGCGGATTTAACCGGAAGTCAACACTTATCATACACGAAAGGACACACTCAGGCGAGAAGCCGTATATGTGCAGTGAGTGCGGGCGAGGCTTTAGTCAGAAGTCAAACCTCATCATACACCGGAGAACACACTCGGGGGAGAAGCCCTACGTGTGCCGGGAGTGTGGGAAAGGCTTTAGCCAGAAGTCTGCTGTCGTCAGACACCAGAGGACACACTTAGAGGAGAAGACCATCGTATGCGGTGACTGCGGACTAGGCTTCAGTGACCGCTCAAACCTCATCTCACACCAGAGAACGCACTCCGGGGAGAAGCCTTACGCCTGCAAGGAGTGCGGGCGCTGCTTTAGGCAGAGGACGACCCTGGTCAACCACCAGAGGACACACTCCAAAGAGAAGCCTTACGTGTGTGGAGTGTGTGGGCACAGCTTTAGCCAGAATTCAACTCTCATCTCACACAGGCGCACACACACCGGGGAGAAGCCTTATGTGTGCGGGGTGTGTGGACGCGGCTTTAGCCTGAAGTCACACCTCAACAGACACCAGAACATACACTCAGGGGATAAGCCCATCGTGTGCAAGGATTGTGGGCGAGGCTTCAGCCAGCAGTCAAATCTCATCAGACACCAGAGGACACATTCAGGGGAAAAGCCCATGGTGTGTGAGGAGTGTGGGCGAGGCTTCAGCCAGAAGTCGAACCTCGTTGCCCACCAGAGGACACACTCAGGGGAAAAGCCGTACGTGTGCAGGGAGTGTGAGCGAGGCTTCAGTCACCAGGCAGGTCTCATCAGGCACAAGAGGAAGCACTCGAGGGAGAAGCCTTACATGTGCAGACAGTGTGGACTAGGCTTTAGCAACAAGTCAGCTTTAATCACACACAAACGGGTACATTCAGAAGAGAAGCCATGTGTGTGCAGAGAGTGTGGCCAAGACTTTATCCAGAAGTCACACCTCCTCTTACATCAGATGACACACCAGGGAGAGAAGCCCTACGTGTGCAAGATGTGCGGCCAAGGCTTCAGTCAGAAGTCCCACCTCAGCAGACACAGGAGGATGAAATCTGTCCACTACAAACCTCCACTCCAGCCTGACTCTGAGGCCTGTGTGGGACAATCTCCTGACCTCTTACACGCTCTTTGAGAGTGAAGGTAGTGGTGCGGACTAAGTCATCAAAACTGTTATACTTTCATGAAATGGAGTAGAGAAGTGCATTCCGGGAGTGGTCAGAGGACATTGGACTTAGTTCACTTTCTCCACACTAAGTCTTCATGTTTTGTGGCCTTTTGTTCTAATAAACATTGCTTCTTTACAAATCCGTAACCTTGACTATATACCTCATTCACCCATCTGTAAAGATAGGGGACAAGGAGTGGTACAGATAACTTGAACTCCTAAGTCCACTCTTCCACAAGAATTCAATTCCTTGGAAGATAGGAACTGAGTCACTAGAATATTTACTAGAAAGTCTGGTCCTTGGTAGAGGGGGGAAATCGAGGAACTGTATTCAGGGATTTCAGGCGAGGGGAGGGAATCTTCCAGGTGTCTTCCAAAAACATGGCTTCCTCTAGCAGGCCCACTTTGATCTGCAACTACCCTCTTCCCTTGACTTCTGTGACAGCCCCCTTTCTCGCTTCCCTCCTCCTAGCTCTCAAATGTCTCTACTTTGCTGAATCTTCCCCTAACCCACCTTAAATGCTTTTTCTCAGGCTTTATTTAGTCCCTGGTCCTCCCACCATGGAGCCCCTCCAACAGTACATTGTCCCCAACACTCCAGTCCCTCAGGCCTGGAGTTTTTCAGCTGTGACCAGCCGGTTCCTTCATCTCAGAGCCTGGGGTCTCCAGTCACATTCCTATCAGACCACCAAGAACATGGAGGATCTCCAACCACCCCCCAGCCACACTACCACACTGGCACTCCAATAATATAATGACCTTTAACCACATGCTCTCCTCAGTCCTCCATTAACAGGAAGAAGACTCTTGAAGCCATTCTCCCAAATCAGTCCTGGAATACCAGGGTTTAGAACTTACAGTAATGCTCCTCAGCTCTCCGTCCCAGGTCCAGGCCCCATGGTAGCCATCCAGGAACCGGTCCAAGTTCCCTTAGCTGCACACCCTAAGCGATTCTCCAATCTCAAGGTTAGAGATACTCAGCCATAAAGACTCCTAACCATACTTTCACCGTGTTCCGGTCCAAAGTGGCCTTGCTCAAAACAAATGACCTTTAGGGTAAAGACCCATCTCAAGGACGCAGCTGTAAACCCTTTTCTAAGACTTAAGAAGATTGAAGTGTATAGCTCCTAGACTCTCAGCTACACAAAACGGTTTCTATGAATTGTAAAGATGTCATCCTACTGCACCCTGGCAACCCAAACCAGAGAGAGCCTTCCCCTGAAGAGCTCTGTAGACGTGGTTTTATCTAATGGAATGAACTTCTGTAGGAGGCAAGGGAAACGTGAGTTTGTAATAGAAACACCAGCCTACTCTGAAAAGGACAGAGAAAAATCCCTACTTCTCTCTTTTTTTTTTTTTAAGATTTTTATTTATTTATTTGAGAGAGAGAAAGCATGAGCAGGGGGCAGGGCAGAGGGACAGGGAGAGACAGACTCCCCGCTAAGCCAGGAGCCCAACACAGGGCTTGATCCCAGGACCCTGGAATCATGTCCTGAGCCAAAGGCAGACACTTAACCAACTGAGCCACCCAGGTGCCCTAAAATCCCCACTTTTCTATGGGTGGGGAGGCAGGCAGAGAAATCTAAGCTGCAAATACAGGCTATTTCAGAAGAATAACTCAGTGTAGACATAAAAATAATGGAGAATCACTGCCAGGGAGCAGTACTGGACACTAATTAAGGAACTAGTGGCCTGTGCCCCACTGAATTTCAAAATGTCTATGAACTGGTACCTCCTGTATATCTTTTATTTCACCATTTTTTTAATAGAAGCATTTATTGTGGTTACATTTTATCCCTAAATCAACATTGAATGTCAGATACGTATCTTTAGCTCTCAAGTCTTCAGATAAAGAATCATCTATGCTTTGATATAGTTTAGATAACAAGTTTCTGAACTTTGAGTCAATGCCATAATGGGATAAGACTTTGAGGGTCTTAGGGGTGAGTGTATATTTCACATGGGATGGACATGAAGTTTGGTGTTCAGATGGTAGACTGTGGAGATAATCTCCAAGATGGACATCAATTCCTTCGTGTGTGTGTGTGTGTGTGTGCGCGTGTGTGAGAGAGAGAGAGAGAGACACAGAGTCTGTTTATCCTCCCATGGATCTGGATTGGCCTTAGTGATTTGCTTGATCGAGAGAATATAGGAGAAGTGATATTATGGGACTTCTGATGCTAGTTCATGAAAAGCCTTACAGCTTCTACTCTGAATCCCACTTCCATGCTGTGAAAAACCTCAAAGCCTCATTGAGAGGCCTCATGAAGGTATTATGGTCAATAGCCCTAGCTGAACTAGCCAACAGCTAACATCAACTGCAGTTGCATGATAGAGCCATCTTGGAAATCCCATTCTGCCAAGCCCTCACACTTCAGGAGAGAACCGTTCAGCTGTGCTCAGTCAACCTACAGAACTGTGAGGGATGATGATAATAAATTGTCTTAAGCCCTAAATTGCAGTGTTGCCTGTTATATAGCAATAGATAATTATAACACCTTTGAAGCATAGGACTGACTTTTCTAACTATGACAAAATCTTGAAGCCATAATGAAAATAGGTCAAGTTTGGCTACACAAAATAAATTCTGCAAGACAACCCACACCTTCAGCCAAAACAAAAGACAAACTGGAGGGAAATACTGAAGTCTGTATTATAAAGAGATCTACAAAATATCTCGAAACGGAGTTTTTAAAATCAACAATGCAACAAAAAATACTCAAACTGACTGATCAGACTCAGATCACAGTGTAGGAAGTCCTTTTTCATTTGAAAATATACTTAATGAAGATACAAATGAAAACCACACAGCAATATTTAACCTGTCAGACTGGCAAAAATTACAAAAGTTGAAACATACTCTTGTAGACTATGGAAACAGGTACACTTACATGTTAGTCTTGGAAGTATAAATTGGTACAAGTCTTGTGGTGGACAACATGATGATATCTACCAAAGTTAAAAATTCATATTCCCTTTATGAGCCCATAACCTCAATGGAATTTATCCAATAGCTGTACACGTTCATGTGCAAAATGATTTACATGAGGTCTTCAGTGCAGTCGTAACTTCAAATTTTAGTAAGGAAGAAAATATTTACCAATAGAGGAACTAATTAAAGTCAACCATGCATAAATAGAACAAGATGCTGTATATTGTCAAAGAATGAGAAGCATCTCTATGTACTGACATGGGAAGATCTCCAAGATTAACCAATGGGAGGAGGATTGGGAAAAACAGTCTGAGAATGCTACAGCCAGTGTGCTATGTTTTACATTAAAAAACAATAGAACATGTTTTTAGAAAATAAGAACTAAGTTGAAATACTACACTTCCAGTTTCAAAAATTACTAAAGCTACAGCAATAATCAGTGGAGTTTCAGCAACAGAAACCCTACAGCAGAATTTTCTTCCAAAATAGTCCAAGAAATGCAGCTTTTCATATGAATTCACGCAAATAGTTTAAGTTTTGCACCTAAACTTACACACTTGGCTTTTCTTCTGAAATGGCCTAGAAAGACATTTTTCATCCAAATTAGCACAATAAGTGGGATTTTGTGTCTGTAATACTACACCATGGTCTTGGAAATATAATTTTTAATCCAAATTCATTAAGTTTTATGGGTTTTTGGAAATAATTCTTTTTTTTTTAAAGATTTTATTTATTTATTTATTTGACGGAGAGAGACACAGCGAGAAAGGGAACACAAGCAGGGGGAGTGGGAGAGAGAGAGAAGCAGGCTTCCCGCTGAGCAGGGAGCCCGATGCGGGGCTGGATCCCAGGATCCTGGGGTCACGACCCAAGCCAAAGGCAGATGCTTAACAACTGAGCCACCCAGGTGCCCCTGGAAATAATTTTTATGCCAAACTTTTTTTCTCTAAGATTTATTTATTTATTTGAGGGAGAGAGTAAGAGCAGGGCAGGGAGTAGCAGAGGGAGAGGTAGAAACAGGCTCCCTGCTGAGCAAGGAGCCAGATGTGGTGTAGGACCCTAGGATCATGACCTGAGCAGAAGGCACCCAACTGACTGAGCCACCCAGGCTCCCTGCCAGACTTTTCTAAGATGACAAAATAGTGTGACCTTCCAACTAAATATGCTCAAATTGTTAGGGTGGTGTGGTTATAAATTCTATGCTATGTTATTTTACAAAACTACCTAGAAATACACTTTCTCATCCAAACTCATTCAAATCATTTGTTTTGGGGGGTACAAATCCTTCATCAAGTTTTCCTCCCAAATGGACAAGAAACATGATTTTTAAAATCCAACTTCATATAAATAGTGGAGCTTTGGTCATATGCTATATGACCATATAAGTCATATGCCAGATATTTGTCCCAGATGCCCTGGAAATGTGATGTTTTCATCTAAATCTGTTCGAATTTGGGGGCTTATTGGAACTAGGTCCTACATCAGATTTTTTTTCTAAAATATGAAGAACATGTGATTTCTGATCCAAATTCACTCAAATCTTAGTATCTTTTGGACATAAGTATTATGCAAGACTTTTATTCTAAAAGACCTGGAAATGTGATTTTTCAAATTGGCTCAAATAGTTTTTTGTCATTTTTTTGGACATAATTTCTACGCCAGATTGTCTTCCAGAGTGGCCTAAAAATGTGACATTTCATCCAAATGTCCTCAAATGGTAGGAGGTTTTTTTGGTAAGCCCTGTGCCAGATTGTTCTTTGCATATGGCCATAAAATATTATTTTTTATTAAAACTTACTAATATCATGAGGTTTATTAGACATAAGTCCTGTGGCATATTTTCTTACAAAGTGGCCCTCAACCATATTTTTTAAACCTAAATTCCCTCCAAAATGCAGTTTCTTGGACATAAGTTCTATGCCAGCTTTTTCTTCCAAAAAGTGGGTTCTTAAGATATGAGTCCCATGGTTCTTCTAAAATGGTTCAGAAAGATGACTTTTCATCCAAATTTTCCCAAAATGTATTTTTGGACATAACCATATGCCATATTTTTCCACCAAAATAGTGCAAAAACAAAATATTTATCCAAATCTGCTAAATCTTGGGAGGTTTTGGACATGAATTCTTCACCATAATTTTTTCCAAAAATGACACAGAAATGTAAGTTTTTAATCCATATTCAAATTGTAGAGTGTTTTGGACATACATCTTAAGG